TGCTCCCAACATGCAGCAACCACACCACCAGTGTCTGAGCCACAAGGCTTTATCTCAGGCTACGTGTCACTTCTGCTAGGCCAGGGTTGAGCTTTCCCATTGCAAAATATTTCCATCCTTTGATTTGTCTGTACCAGCAGACAAATTTGTCACACAGTGTGCTATGTCCAAGGAACTTGAGATACTGGCAGTAAATGAGAGAGGTAACAGGCAAAAACTCAGACTGGGTATTGCCAGGGAATTCCGTAATTATGGGGAACCCAATAATTGTGGGGAGTCCTTTGTTGCTGTAAAATGGCAAAGTGGCAAGGGGTGGAGTTTTGTTGTGTGAGTATATTGTCCCTTTTTGTTGGTGTTGAGATGATGTGGCTTTTTATGTAGGTGTGGATCTTTTTGATTGATGTAAATAAGTGCATGATGAAGATCTATTTTAATGACAATTCAGCTCTCTAAGACCTATGACTAACCTACAAAAGGGGTCATTGACTATTGAATTTCATCAGTTTGAAGGGACTTTTCATGAACATGATAGTAACTTACTCCTTGGAAAAACATATAGCACTATATACTCTGAGCTTACACAAAGTAGAATTACAAAGGAAATGGGAAGCTGGCATTGAAACCCATGAATTTATACCCATATCAGGCTGTAGAGAGGGGAATCAGGGTGATATACTTCCCCTTAGAAACCCAATCCAATCTTTAAGCTTCTTTGGCACATGAAAAGTTTGTAAATGGAAACTTTTTATGGCTGCCCTTTTCTTTGCTGTTGACTTGGGGTGGTTTTAAGGGTTTTAAGGGGAGTACTGTGCAGACAGGTCTGTGTTGACAGGAATACTGTGCTCCACACACTGCTTTGCAAAGGAGTAGCTGCTCAGGGTCTGCACATAGTGATCAAATAGCTGACAGCTGCTCCTGTTTTTCTTTTTTATTCAGGGATCCAGCATGAGAGTTGGACTGTGAATACTGAGCTATTATTGTTGGCTCACAAATGTTGAGCTGCTGGTATTGATTTTCTGAAAAGATGTTTGGAGCAGTAACAAAAATAAAAAATAAAGTCAAGAATGATGAGGCTTCACAAATAGCCAATAAAAAAATCCACAAAAATCTTAGTAAACTCTTGGGCTATCCAACCTTGACAATGTCCTTTTCAATCTGAATCCAATCTTCTCCTCGTGTTTTGAGCAGCCAACCGCATTTGTTTCTACCCTCACAATGCTCTGCTGGCTCAATGAATCACTCTGAGCTACAGTTTGCACTTCTAAGCTTTCACACGCTACACAGTCACCCTGGGAAAGCAGAGAAAGGAATGGGTAGTGCAGCACCTGGAGTAAATGATAAAAGTCCTGTTCATCAGAAGGAATTTCTTCTGAAGTCAGTGGGAGCTCACAGCATGGGGTGGCTGTGAAGCTAGACTGACCTCATATGGACCTCCCAAACATACATGCTGTCCGTTTGTAAACTTTAGGATTTACCCATGAATACATGAAAAAACACAGTCAATTTTATTATAAACTTTATTACCTTTCTAAATTTTTAAAAGTACACACACAAAGCTGTTGATGATCACAGTAGTTTAAAAAATGCAATTTAATTTTTACTGTGAGATTATATTCCACAACTGTAGCCAAAACTGACATATAATCATTCCATAACTCTCAAAAAATTAATTATCCAGAACTAAATGCTCCATATGTAAGCTTTCCATAATGGAAGTCCCTGCAGAAAACTGACCCTCAGTATCTCAATATTTAATTATTTCTGACACAAGGGACTTAAACCACTACTTTTGGTTAAAACCAGAGTAATTAGTCTCATTTTATTTCATTACATCAATATAAAACTGGATTAATGCAGCTATAAATTAGGTCAACTATTTCTAGAACTACTGACTAAGATAAAAAATTAAAATGGGCAATATAATGTTCTTAAGGCACAGATGGGATAATGTCTTATCCTACCAGCAGGTCCATTTAACTTACCAGGAGTAAGTTATAGCATAAAATTCAGCACACAGTTTACCAGTGCCTGGCTGTGTGTTTGCACAGTGCCCTCTAGGATGGGGTTCTTGTCTGGGTATTACAAAAAGAGACAGAAAAAATTAATGTGCTTTGAAATTTAACAAAAACATTGAGAAAACTGAAATAAGAAAATCACTTCAAGCTCCAATAACCCACTTTGCTTCAACCATTGTTGCCTTTGCCTGTGATTTCATTTCCTCCCAGGTGAATACAAATCAGCAGTGTAAATCTATTCAAACAGCCTCCGAAGAAAGGATTTCTTTGTCGATGTTGATAACTTCACGGCTTTCTTTTTGCGCAGCGGTTTCATGGGTGGCTTTTTCAGGCACATCACCTTCTGAGGAGTTTGTAGCCCTTTATTAAGGTCAACGTGGTTGTTGCAGAAGTACTTGACATTTGCTTCTGAGAGACGTAGAAGCATGGTCTCTGAGAGATCCATACACTGTGCGTGGACCCAGTGGCCAGCCCCACTGGAGCACAGGATCATTGCAGGCTTGTTGAGCTCTGTCGAATAGAAAGGGACCCAGGTGTTAATGTCAATATTGCAACTGGCACAGCAGGTGATCCAGTAGCCTGTTTCTGATTCATCTTCTTCATCATCTTCATTGTAAGTGTCAGCATCGTCAGCATCAAAGCTATTGGCTTCAGCACTAAAGCAAAACTCCTCCGAATCTTCAAATGGAGTGGAGTCTCCAGGGTCTTCACTTGATGTCTGACTGCAAGTCTGTGTTATCAATTCTTCTTCCTTGTCCTCTTCTGGCCATTTGCATCTCAAAATGTAGAAGTAGTTTGCATCTGGGATTATTTGTTTGTTGGCCCCTGGAATGCCCAGCAGAACAGACCCCTTACCCATATCACAACCAAACCACGTTCTGCAGTGTTTAATATCTGGTGTCCACTCCGGGCTCACACTTTCAACAATCTCTATCTTATTATCTTCCAGAACTATGGTGTTACACGCCAGCCGTTTCTGGCTGTCTGAGTGGTAGCCACCGACAAGGACAAATTCAATGTCACTGATCTGGGTCACTATAGCACTTGACACTGATATCCCCCCTGGCAGGACGGTGCAGGTCACAGCCGGGCTGCCCAGGGGGAGATCAATTTTTATCTTGTACAAGTTGGGAGACCTGGTGTTATTTTGAAGTGAGTGGCCTCCCAAGATATAGATTGTATCACCTCTGGCAATTGAAACGTGGAAGGAAAGTCCATCTTGAAGCTCTGGAAGCAGGTATGATGTACAGCATCCAAACTCAAAATCAATGAGAAACACAGATGGCAAACAGTCGACTACACTGTTCCATTTTTCAGTGGTTCTCTGAGCAAGAGGAGTATATGACCTCCCTCCAAAGAGAACAGTCACGCTTTTTCCCCGGCTATGAACTACATTAATTGTGTGCCCATATCTAGCTTCAGGGACATCTCCACCCAGGTCTTTCTCAATGCACTGGAATGTCATTTTCTTGCTAGCTTTGTTTACCAGACTCATAAAGTAAATTTTATCAGAAAGGTCATTGTTAGGTGTTTTACCACCATGGATGATATACTGGTACTCATCAGCCCTTGCATCGCTTCTGAGCCTGCAAAGAGCAGGGTAGCGGAGAGGGGGAAGGTAACACGAGTCTTTAGAGAAGAAGGCAGGTTTCATTTTGAGCTCATTATGCTTTATATCGAGGAGGAAAACACCAGTGGGGCAGGATCTCTTTGGCCATCCTTTCTGACCAAAAAAGAAAACATGCTCATCAAAATTCAGGAGAGAGAAGCCCGGCTGAAGCAAGGATGAGTTATTGGCGGTGGATACCATCTGCAGCGACATTTTGTCTGTTGACTGTGCCATACCGCTGCTGAGAAGACAAAAAAAAAAAAGCCAAAACGAACAGATCAAGCATGCATTAGATACCATCACAATTATTTAACACAGGTTGAATAAATCCTGTGGAAGTTATGCAGCAGTTCACTCCTTGAAACCCACAAATACACGCTTTTCTGGGTCTCAAGACGCGAATCTAGCATGAGCCGCGGACCAATTCCGAGTATCCTGGCGCTTTTGAGCGCACACGGAGCCCGCACAGGGCGCGGCCGCAGGCGGGCGCTGGAGCGGCTTCCCGGGGCCGCTCCCACGGGAACGCGGGCCCGCAGGCTGCTGGGGCCGGTAGTCCTGCCTGGGTGCCCGGGGCTGGGTGTCCCGGGCCCGGCCCCGGCTCGGCTTGTCCCGTCCCGGCCGTGGGGAATCGGCAGCGGCGGGCTGCGAGAGCCGGCGGCGGTGAGTGCCCGTGTGCTGGCGGCGGGCTCGGCGCGGAGGGAGCAGCGCCGGAGGTGCCACAAGCCGGCATTTCCTGCCCTTTTGTCACCCCGGGGATGCCGGGCTGGAGGGCCCCGAGTGCGGGAGCCTCGTCCGGAGGGGCTGGGACGGCAGCGGACTCCAGGCCATGCCGCTGCCGGCCGGGAAGCCGCCCCAGGGCCCGCAGTCAGAGCGCGGACACTTCCCATTGCGCCTTTTGTTTACAAGGAAAACGTCAGGATTTGTTGCCTGGTTGTAGGAGCAGGAGGTGCCCGCTGCCTTGGCAGCCGTGCCGGGGCCCGGCTGAGCCTCCCTCACGCTTGTGCTAAGCGGCCCTGTCGCGATATCGGGATTGCGAGCGCCAGGGTGCTCGAATCCTTTGTCTTTCATCTCCGCGCTCTGCTCCTGCTTTCAGGAGTAGGTTTCAAGGGGTATCTTTTCCTGTTATAAACCTGGTTGTTTGAAGACCGAAAGGAGTTTATGTAATGAGCATGGATATTGACTGTGGAAGAGCTTTGGAGAGCACAGACACCAGGGAGGAAAATAAGGGGCTGATTCATTGGCAGTGTCCTTTGGTGACAGCAGACTTGTGCCCTTTAGTAAATGTCCAAGTTCTCTGTCCCAGCCTTTGCCGAATCCAAAGTGTGAGCTAAATATTAGAAAAAAAGCGCCACTAAATCCTACATTTTAAAATGTAGGGGTTGTTTTTGTTCTGTTTTATTCTTTTTTTTACATCTCTAGGATTCGTATTTTCCTTGTTGCTGCATTTCATTTTGCTGTGACAACAAAAACAAGACACACAGGGTTTCTTTTTTAAGGAAGGGTTGGTGTCTTCCAGTTTTGTGACATCAAAACCCGGGGGGATCTGAACAACATCGTGTAGAGGAAAAGTCGCTGTAAGGACATGGGAACTGATGGCACTGGCTGCATCAATTGCCATGTTGTACAATATTGCTGCTCTGCCTGCCTGCAAACGGCTGTGGGAACTGCTGTGCTAAAATAGGGATTTGCCATGGAATGTTTTTCAAAGGTGAGATGTTTTCAGGCCAGAGCACACAGACAGGGCAGGCATAGCCATTACGGAGTGTTTGAAAAAACAATCCATGGAATGGCTGTCTAATGTTGTGGAATCATCCAAAGTTGAGTTGAGTTCTGTTCACTGTGTAGCCTAATGCCTATGCCCTGAAGGTGGTAGTTTTTTTCTACTTTTAGATTTCCTTTTAGAAGTACTTCACTGTGGGTGAAGTTCAGTTATAAGTTAATTAAATTAGTGAACCCTTTTCTGAGCATGTCGGTATACACAGCAGGTTTTGTCCTTATTATGCATGAAGAAAGACTTATGAAGTTATTTACCTTCAGGTGATATGCTAAACAGGAATCTGCTGCTTGTTTCTTACAAGTATTCAAAAATGGCATCATCAGAGGAGCTTGCACTAAGTTAGGTTTACTTGATTAGATGTCATTTGTCTTTCATATTGTCTGGTTACTTAGCTTCTTTGGTTTTACAGGATCTTTAGAAAAGTAAAATGAAGATGCTGTAAAAAAATTTTGGCTCTATTATGAGAAAATTAGAGTTTTTTATCTTGTACCACTCTGGTTCTACATTTGACTGGTTTATATTTGAAGTCTAACAACAGTATTAAAAGTGGCAAACAATTTAAGTGACATATTGATATGCATCTTATATTTTTACATATACTGAAAGAATCTCCAAATAGGGCATTTATTAGTGTCCACAGTGTCACAAACTATTTCCCAAATATTGAGGAGTACTCAGTTCTGACGAGTTACTATCTGAAAATCTGCAGATACAGAGTGGAGAAAAGATCAGTGAAAATTATTTGATTGATAGGCACACAGAACATACTGCTTAAGAACACTTAAACACGCTTCCTTGTCATCTCATAATATTTCTTGAAATATATATAAGCAAACAGTTCAGTATGTAATGGAGGGAATATTTCTCTGAGATTTTTGGACAGAAGGAGCTCCTTAGGCACTGGCTGGAAGTGCTTTGGCTTTCCATGTATTTTCATGCTAATTACAGTGTGTCAATACAGTGAGGTTGCTCTTTGGCTATGCTGACCTCCAACTCTAACCTTCCAATACCGCTGATTCCTTTGGGCCATGGCTCTTCTAACCCTGAACAGCTTTGGGGAACCCAGAAGATCTAACCTCATAAGCAAAGAGTTTAAAGTGCTTTTTGTGGCTTTATGCTTAAAACAGGAGTTGGATTGGCATTACAGCTGGTGCAGAGGGAAACAGACAAATGCCTTTGTTGTGGTGCAATGCAAGATACCGGGGAAGAGATGCTACAAGGAGTAAAAACAAATGAGAAGAGAAGGGAGGAGTTACATAAACGTTTACCAGTTACAATAACTTGAGTCATGCTTCATCATATTTGGTGTTTTTATATTTTAAGCTAATGATTATACAAATAAATGAGAATCTCAGCGTTACTTTTATAAGGCCCCTATTTGGGAAGCAGTAGAGACCTGAGCTAGAAGCTAAGCTAACAGAAAGCAGAAAACTAATATTCTCCCCATGTTTGTTTCAAAATCAAACAGTATTCTGAGCAGGTTTTTCAGGTAAGAGTTGTTTATATGGCAAGAAGAAGTTATAAGGAATTCCAATTTAGATAGATGCATTGGGAGATACATTTAGAGAAGGATCAAATGAAGAGAGAAGGTGTTTTTTTTAAAGCACTAACTAATGTAATTTGAAATGTGCTTACTATGGAAATAGATGGACATAGTTACAGTTTTGTTTGGTGTATCATTTCAGAAATAGGATGAACATCTTTTAGGGACAAAGGGTAACACTGAGTGACCTAAATAGCAATTTTTGACATTTCATATACCTTTGGATAGTCTTCCTTGTCTTCTAGCTTCTCCTATGGAAGCAAGTCTCCCATTGTTTTTTGTCCTAGATCCTAGTAAACCTAATTTATGAAATGTCACTAGATGACAGTGTTTAGGCACTGAGTCACTCCCAAACTGTGTTTAGTACTTGTTGTCCTCTTTGACCCTATGCAGAAATGGTTTGTTCACCTATGTGCTTTGCCTGTTACCTAATTAGGCAACAAAAACATTCTAATCAGGAGAACAATGACTAATCAGTGCTGCTGTTTAGTGTGACATCTCATATTTTTCAACATTGAAAGTAGTATTTGCAATAATTTCACAGTAATTTGAAAGCTGCAAAATAATGAATGAGAAATGAGTTGATCTTATGAACTGTAGCAAACACAAAGAACCTTTTTCCGTTTATACAAAAATAAGATATTTGAGCTGTACCGATGGGACACTGAGAGAATGGAATGCAGGATAACATGGAGTCTCAGCTGGTAAACACCCATTGCTGACCATTAATTAGTCTGCAGTTATTTTGGCATGAACACAGGTATCTATTATAGAATTAAATTGATTTTGCAGTATTGTAGGTTTTTTTCTTCTGACAGATCTTTTTTTTCATTTCCAAAACAGAAAACCATACCCCTGAAAAGCAAGTGCCGTTTCCAAATGCTCCACTATCAAAGTCATATCCAGGCACTCAGAGAAGTTTGAAGTCCTCCATAAAGAAGCTTAAGGAGGGAAATTTTTTATACAGTATTTCTCAAAACATTTGAGAAGTGTATCAACCAAGTTTGCTTTGGGCAAAACAGTAATTCAGACGTACCTGGCTGATAGCAGCTTTTTGCTTCTTCCGTAATCTTTCTGTGTAATTGGGATTCAAATGTGAGCAATGTGAGGAATCTTCTGTGACAGCACAGAGGGCTCGTGGCATGGAGAGACAGCCTGATGGAGGGGGTTCTGTCTGCTTCATTTGCAGATGTGCTCCTGAGAACTCATGTGCTGTGGCTAACTGGCTGTGACTGTTTTTTTTTTTTTTTTTCCCCTTTCCTCTCTTGTCTTCAGATGGCACAACAAGAAACCCACCAGCCTCCAGAGCCTTTAACTCTTTGCTGTGGAACGAGCTCTGGGTGACAGCAGGTGCCTCTTAGGTTGCCTGCAGCATAAGCTTCTTTATGGTTGAATTTTTTTACGGTGTTAAAAACTTTCAACCTTGTGATCATCTTTAGAATTTTTTTTTAAATGTAATTTAAAATAAATTTTGAGTTAAGAAATTATTTCAATAGGTAGTAAAAGAAAACAGCTCTTGCTGATTGGCATACTGCTTTCCCCAAGAATGCTCTGCTGCAAGTGGGCAACGACACAGAAATGGAGCAAAGGAAGTGACAAATGCATGCAGTTCACTGAGTGAGGGCTGACTAGAAAGTCCAACTCAAAGTCCACCGAAGTAATTAGAAATGTATTTTTTTCCCCTTCAGTGGCCTTCTGATCAGACCTTGAAAGACTAATAAAACTGGACCCTTCTGTGGCATTTTTCATCAGTCTCACAGTGCTTTTCTCCAACAACAAATAATGAGATGCTGGGAAATCCACTGGGAACATATCCTTTCAACAGCTAGCAGTGCTGGGGCACAGAGGATAAGCCACTTGCATAACACAGCACAACAAATAAACAGCAAAACCTGGAAAACAATTTACTCTTCATAGCTCCCTGCTTTTGTTTTCCTGGCCCTACTTCACCCACTCCTGAGTTACAACATCTGCTGCACAGTATTTTAGAAATATCTCAACTCCCATTTGAAACTGCTGTGAGAATAGAAATAGAAGGAACTTGAAATGGAATTTGATTAGTACAGCAAAGCAAACACACCAAATGTTTGCAAAAATTGTCTTGAGACATTGAATAACTGTAATGCAGATAGGATGTGGTGATGTTTCTCATCTGAAATACAGCAGTGCTAAGGCACTGTGCCCTGTAGCATCCATATGGGCCTTTTCTACTGAAACAAAGATAAAAGAAAACTGTAGTGCAGAGTTGAATGCTGAAGAACTTCCCCCAAATTTAAGGGCATTGAGATCACATTTATTTGTATTTTCAGTAGGCCCTAGATAATACTTGACAGCTTCTTATCTAAGTGTTTGATGTGTCTGTGGCCAAAGATTTACCAGTTAAAAAAACAAACAAAGAAACAAACAAATACAAACAAACAAACAAAAAACCCCCAAAAAGCCACCCAAAAAACCAAAACCAAAACAAAAAAACAACAAATACTGATGTGAAAAATCCAGTCCCCCAGTTGTGTCACTTTACTATTTTACATTCTTTTTAGACTCTTTATACCAGTTGGCATGCCTTATCTTTAGAAATTCTTTTTCCAATTACTAAGGTTGAGAAGATGGAGAAATTAAAGTTTTTTGGCAACAGCATGTCATTTTTGGATGAGGACATGGTCTGTCCAAGCTGCTCTGTGTCAATGATAAAGTGCTTTGGAGAAGCTGCAGCAAATAGATTCAGAATAATGTATTGACATGGTAGGGAAATTATGTTCAAAGCTGTCCTGGTCATAGCAAGAACATCTTGGATTTCCATCCTGAATTTAACTGGCAGAGAACCCATGTGAAAAGGAATAAATGGACTTTTCCTTCACAAGTTCTATTTTAATAACGTTGACAGAGGTCGTATGTTTTCAGCAGATTGCTCACTGTTACGGAAATGCTTTATTTCGCTTGATTTTCTTCTACAATTAATTTCTTAAAATAATATATTGTTTGCATCTTCTTCATTCCAAATCATTCCAAATTGTGTTGAGATATTGCCAGGCTTTTCAGCATATTTTCTGCCAGTAAAACACAGTCATCTCTGAGCTGAAATGTAGCTGGCTTCCTGTGGGTTGCAGTAATGCACTCCAGCTCAGCAGGGAAAGGGAAGGCTGCCTCACTCGTTTGTGTAAGGTTTGCCAGCCAGAATGCAAATATGCTGGATACTTAGCCAGGACCCATGGGCTGAAACCTGTAAAAAAGGGCACAGGGAGTCCAGCATCCTACAGTCTTCAATTTTCTGTCTCATCTAAAAGTGACAGTAAACAGTATTTAACTTGTGAGGGAGAGGGCTTTATTTGGAGGGCTTATCTGAAATATCTGATTGAATCCAGCTGTGCTTTGAGTGTCAGATCCTGGA